TAGAAGGCGCGGACCTTGTCTGTAGATGTAGGGCTGGCGCCTTCTGAGAAGCAGCCTCCTCCCAAGAAGCTTTTCTCCCTCCTCCTGCCCCCTTGTGCGCGCCGCCAACGTTCCGCTGTGTTCGGCCTCTGGGGGTCCCTTACCGGGCACGAGGGTCGTCAAAGAGCGACTCCGCATGAAAAGTCGGCCCCCGGGGACGGGGTCGGGACTCCTGCAGGCCCCGCGCTGGAGACAAGGACACCGCATCTGGGGAGTAGGAGGTGCAGGAATGGAACGAGTTTCGGCATCTTTCTGCCCGAGGGTTTCTCCTCGACCCCTGGAGGAGTCCCAGGACGGGTCGAATTCGTTCTTCTGCGCCTTCCCTTCCTTTTCCTCCCCTGCTTCCCCCCTCGTCCTCCTGCACGTCCCCTCGCCTGCTCCCCCAGGGGGCTGGCCCCGTGCAGGTCCCTGAAGGACTACGCGGCCTCCTTCGAGCCAGACGAGGCCGAGCGGGCGATGGCCATCAACAGCCTGGAGGCGGGGCACCCAGAGAGTCGGGGGCCAGCGGGCCGGAGCGTCAATCCTCCTCCTCCTCCTCCTCCTCCTCCTCCTCGCCCTCGTCCTCGTTCTCGTCCTCCTCCTCCTTCTCCTCCTCCTCCCTGCTCCTTCTCCTCCTCCTCCCCCTCCTCCTCCTCCTCCGCCTCCTCCTCCGCCTCCTCCTCCTCCGCCTCCGCCTCCGCCTCCGCCTCCGAGGGCCCCCTATGGCTGGCTGGCTGGGCTGAGGTAGACGGTCGGGCTCGGCCAGCTCGGCTGGCCGTCGCCGCGGTGCTTGCGGACTGGCCAGCTGGGCTGGCGCGGCTACTCGGCCGAATTGGGCTCGGTTGGCTGGGTTGGCTGCCCGAGCTCCTCCTCCTCCTCCTCCTCCTCCTCCTCTTCTCCTCCTCCTCCTCCTCCTCCTCCTCCTCCTCCTCGAGGACTTTCTCTGAAGCCTCTCAAAGATCTGACGCGTCCGAAGCTGGCCCCCCGACACCCGTGCGAGGCAGAGGCAGCGCTAGACCGGCACGTCCAGGCCCTGTTCGGGGACGTGCGGCAGCTGCACCAGGAGAGCCGGGAAGTGTGCCCGCATGGGCGACCGAGCCACCCCCACCCCTCCGCCTCCTCTTCCTCCTCCTCCTCCTCCTCCTCCTTTCCTTCTTCCTCCTCCTCCTCTTCCTCCTCCTCCTCTTCCTCCTCCTTTTCTTCCTCCTCCTCTTCCTCCTCCTCCTTCTCCTCGTCCTCCTCCTCCTCCTCGTCCTCCTCCTCCTCCTCCCCCCCGAAGGCCACCCGAAAAGAAACACAATTTCTGGAGGGAGGCGGGGTGGGTCCAGGCCTCTCAGATCGGGTCGGGGTAGATGGAGTCGGAGGATCGCACCGTACCGCATCGCCGATGCATCGCCGATGCGGCTTGGTGTGTAGCCTGCTTTGCTTCACGTCGACGGTCGAATGCATCGCCGATGCATCTCCGATGTATCGGCGATGCTGCGCGATCCTCCGACGCCATCTACTCCGTCTCCACCCAGGAGGCCTCTAATGGGGGGCGCGAGATGTACAATGTGTGCCAATGTTCACGAGTTGCTTGAACCCGCCCAGAATCACACCTTCGGGTGATCTCCCGGTGGGGACACGCCTGGTGGTGCGACGGGGAGGAGTTGTTTCTCAGGAAGAGGGGTGGGGGATGGAAAACGAAGGAAGGGATTCGGCAGCCCTCCCCGCTATCGTCCGCGCCCTCGTCGTCCTCACCATGGTCCTCGTCGTCCTCGTCGTCGTCCTCCTCCTCCTCGCCGTCCTCGCCGCGGCCCTCGTCAGCGTCGCTGCTGTCGCCGCCGCTGCTGTCTGCCAGGAGCTCCTCGAGGCGATCGGGCCGGAGGCCGCGGAGGCGGGCGCGGAGCAGGCGGAGGCCGCCTTGGCGCAGGCCGTGCGCAGGGGGGACGTGGCGTCCGTGCGCATCTCCGTGGGGGACCTGCGGCGCCTGGTGCTCGAGGGGACCGCGGCTCGCCACCAAGGGTGGGGGGGTCCTCCCTCCTCCCTCCTCCCTCCTCCTCCCTCCCTCCTCCCTCCTCCCTCACTCCCTCCCTCCTCCTCCTCCTCCTCCTCCCTCCCTCCTCCTCCTCCTTCTCCTCCTCCTCCTCCTCCTCCTCTTCCTCCCTCCCTCCTCCTCCTCCTCCCCCTCCTCCTCCTTCCCTCCTCCTCCTCCTCCTCCTCCTCCTCCTCTTCCTCCCTCCTCCCCTCCCCCCCCTCCCCTTCCCGCCCTTCCCCTCCCCTCCCTCCCCTCCCCTCCCTCCCTCCCTCCTCCTCCTCCTCCTCCTGCCCTTTCTCCCCCCTCCCTCCCGTTCGTGGTCCCAGCTCGGGCCACAGCGCCCTCGCGGGTCGATGCCGCTCGGGGGCCTGCTTGGGCGGCGCTTTTCTCGCGACGCGGGGATCCCTGGCAGCATCCCCGTCAATGCGTCCTCGATCTATCAGCAGCTGGCAATTCTTGGCGCTTCGCGTATCCACAAGCGGTAGTCTCGGCCTGAACTGCGGCGGTTGGCCTGTTTGTGCTGGGTAATTTAGGACCTCGCGCGGCCCGCTCGGACCTTGATACGCCGTTGGCGCGCTCGCTTGCGGCTGATAACAACAAATTATCCACAAGCAGGTTCTCGCCCTCGGCCGCCTCTTTGCTTTCGCCTGCCTCTGTCTCCGCTTTGTAGCTTTCGCCACCCTTGTGGCCCTTTTTCCGCACCACACTTGCGTTAGCAGGGCTTGCGCTACTCTCTCGACTTTATCTGACGGCGCGCGGCTGACCGCGTCGTTCGCGAGCAAAAAAGTACCCCCACAAACCGATCCAGGAGGAGGAGGATGAATACGAATAAGAGTCTTAGTAAGAGTAATAAGAAGACGAGTAATCAACAACAGACGACGAAAAATGAGAAAACGATTAATACGAGTAATCATACCAAGAAGAACATAGAAATAGTAACACTACGAATGCCATCAATAGTATTAGGTAAAAGAATATGACTAAGCAGACGACGGATACTAATACTACAATAACAATGCCGATACGCAACATGATAAGACCACTACGACTAATACTACGAATAAGCGACTACGAATAATAATGCGATTTGGAAGGAACCGAATAGTCATATTAACGACCAGACTAGTAATCATACACATAATAATGTTCATGCAAAGGAAAGAAAGCACCATGACTACTACTACTACTACTACTACTACTACTACTGCTGTTACCACCACTACCACTACCACTACCACTACCACTACTACTACTACTGCTGCTACTACTACTACGACTACTACTACTACTACTACTACTACTACTACTACTGCTACTACTACTACTACTACTACTTCTTCTTCTTCTTCTCTTCTTCTTCTACTACTACTACTAATACTACTACGACGACGACTACTACTACTACTACTACTACTACTACTACGAATACGAATGTAACATTCATTGGATTCATACTGGGACTATGATGAACAATGGTGCTAATACCAGCGTACTACTAATAATGGTATTACTAAGCATAGCCATGTTCATACTACATGGTTATCAAGACTGATACTCATACTATTATTGTTCGTATCAATAATATCAATACGACTCAGACTCAACACAAGAAACATAATAATACGACTATTGCTACGACGATAAGTATTAGTAAGCATACTAGTGAGAAGAAGTCGAATAATATGAAGAGGAGGAAGCAGGGCCAGGAATGACTGAATGAAGGACATGAGCGGGTCGCCTTCCCCATCGACCCCTCTTTGGTCTACCAGCAGCGGTCAACTATGCACCACCTTGGTTGGTGCCATCCTCGTTCGCAGGACGGTTCATGGACCTTCTAGTCTGGGAACAAACCATGACATAAAGATGAATTTTCGAGGGTCCGCGCTGATCTGTCGCATCGGCGCTGGAGCCCCCTTGTCAGCGCCTCGGGGGCCGCCCCTGGCGCGCTCCGCGCTCCAGGGAGGGGGTCCAGCGCCGATTCGAGAAATCCGCGCAGACCTCCACAAGTTGATGTTTATGCAATTTGTTCGTTCCTCGATGTGGACCACCATGCCTGGTGCTATCCTCGGCCGCGTGTTGGTATGTGGACCCTCTTGGCCGAGGCCTGCAGGCCATATGCACCATGCCGGTGCCCAGGATTGCCCTGGCCTGGCACTGTGTGTTTGTGTGTGTGTGTGTTTGTGTGTGTGTGTGTGTGCTGGTGCCTTCTGTTGGTATATTTGCCCCCGTCCCCGTTGTCATCCCCTCCTTGAGCTAAATCCCTCCCCAGGGCGGGGCAGACGCTTTTCCCCCGATTGGCCTCTTGCAGGATCGCCTTCGGCCGCCTGCTCGCGGACGCGGAGGCGCAGGTGCCCTGGACGTGAAACACGGAACACAAAACGTTTGGACAACTCATGTGCTGGTGTCTTTGGGTGACCCTCCCGCCGCGCGTCTCCTCTTCCCCTTTCTCCGCCTTTCGTCCCTTGGGTCTTCCTCTTTTTTTCCGCGCCTTGTCTTGCCTCGTTGCGTCCCGCCGTTGCCCTACCGCTGCTTGGATCCAACTGGGCGCCGACGAATGGGTCGGCTTGGCCGCGCCTTGGGGGGGGGGGAGGGGGGAATGGAGGATGAGGAGGAGGAGGAGGAGGAGGAAGGAGGAGAGGAGGAGGAGGAGTAGAGGAGGAGGAGGAGGTGAGGAGAGATGAGGAGGAGGAAGAGAAGGAGGAGGAGGACGAGGAGGAAGAGGGCGGAAGAGGAGGAGGGGGAGGGGGGGGGAGAGGGAGGAGGAGGAGGAGGAGGAGGAGGAGGAGGAGGAGGAGGAGAGAAGGAGGAGGAGGACGAGGGATGAGTAGGAGGAGGAGGAGCGGCAAAGGAGGAAGAGGAAAGAGAGGAGGAGGAGGAGGAAGGAGGAGAGGAGGAGGAGGAGGAGGAGGAGGATGAGGAGGAGGGAGGAGGAGGAGGAGGAGGATGAGGAGGAGGAGGAGGAGGAGGGGGGAGGAGGAGGAAAAAAGAGAGGAGGAGGAGGAGGAGGAAGATGAGGAGGCGGCGGCGGAGGAGGAAGGAGGAGGATAATGAGGAAGAGGAGGAGGAGGTGGAGGAGGAGGAGGAGACGGATGAGGATGAGGGATGATGAGGGTGATGATGATGATGATGATGATGATGATGATGATGATGATGATGATGATGATGGTGATGATGATGATGATGATGGTGCTGGTTATGATTATGCGAATGACGATTATGCTGCTGATGATGATGACGATGACGATGCTGATGATGATGATGCTGATACTGATGACGCGGATGAGGATGGTGATATTGATGATGCTGATGATGATGATGCTGCTGATGATGAGGATGGTGATGCTGCTGATGATGCTGATGATGCTGCTGATGATGCTGCTGCTGATGATGCTGATGATGCTGATGATGATGCTGCTGCTGATGATGATGAGGAGGAGGAGGATGAGGATGATGATGAGGATGAGGATGAGGATGAGGATGAGGATGTTGCTGCTGCTGCTGAGGAGGAGGAGGAGGAGGAAGTGCGAGAGAAGGAGGAGGAGGAGGAGGAGGAGGAGGAGGAGGAGGAGGAGGAGGAGGAGGAGGAGGAGGAGGAGGAGGCGGAGGAGGAGGAGGAGGAGGAGGAGGAGGAGGAGGAGGGAGGTGGAAGGGGAGGGGGACCTGCCGTCCCTACCTGCCTGGGTCCACGTGTCTTTGGGTGGCCCTGTGCGCGAGACGGTGCCGGCCAGGGCCGTGGTCCGTGCCAGACCATGCACGGAAGGCTCGCGCCGTGGCAGCGACCCCAGCGTGGGCGTTCAAGGTGGAACGCCGCCAGGTTGGAGCCAGCTGGGGGTCCTTGGGTCAGGCGATCGCAAACATGGATCAAGGGGGCGTGGATTAGCGACGGGCCCCGTTTGTTATGGGAAACCGCGGATTTCCGCCGCCGAGCGAGGCGGCACCGGCCGCATTTTGGGGCGGGCACATCCCCCGATCCATGGATTTGGCGACCGCGCGCCAAATCCATGGAGCGCTAATCCATGTTTGCGCGCCCCCGATTGGGTTGCAAATCGTGGGGGCCTTAAATCGGGCATGTCCCTCTACAGGCGGAATTTGCAAAGATAGTACAAAAATAGTCTGGGTGCCCGACCTTATGGGAGCCTTGTGTACCCTCGTACTTCTGTCTTTAGAGCACTAGCGTCGATTAGCGTCTGGTAGTCGATGATTTAGTACCGATTCAGCGTCGACTAGCGTCGACTAGCGTCGATTGGCGTCCATTCGCAAGAGCCGACAAGATGGTATGGGAGGCTCCCATGAGTTGCCACCGAAGGGTTCGAGGTGGCCCAGCGTTCGTTCTGTCCAGCGGGAAGAGGGGGCGAGGTTCGAGGTTTTGGCTTCGATCATTTTTTTTGTTTTGTTTTTTGTTTTTTTGTGTGTTTTATTTTCTTTCTTTCGGCCTGCTGGGGCCATTTGTGAAAGCTGCGCCAGATGGACTCCAGGAGGGGTCGGGGGACCGATTTTGAGCGGATTTGCCTCCCCCCCCCCTCTTGACAGATTTTCTCGGGGCCCAAACAGGATCAGACCCCTTGGCTGCCTCCAACCGCCAGTGGAGCGGAATTGGCCGACATCGAACAATCTGCGATGTATGCCAGGGCTCCCCCAGCTGATTGCCCTAGAAGCACGCCTTGCAGGAGACAGTGGTAACAAGGGTGAATCTAGCGACAGGTACCGCTCAGGATTCCCCGCGGCTTCGCGTGCACATGCGGCCGCACTGGAATCTTCCGAACTCTTGAACGCAATCCATAGACACCACAGTCACCAGCCGGCCACCTCCAGCGAAGAGATCCGCGACGCCCCACGCGAGCTGGTCATTGGAGACGCCTCGAGCGGGATAGCTTCAAGCAGAGGGGGGCCCTCAGCGCCCCTCCCTGTATCCTCGCGCCATATGGTGGTGGGGGAGGTGGTTCCGACTTTGATTTACTCGCATCTTTTTTTCCCCGCCGCTACCCTTGTGGAGGACGATCAATGGAGAGGAAGCATGCTGCCAAATCATTTCCAGCTGTCTAGAAAATGTGTTAAACATGTTTTAAACATGTAAACAACATGTTTAAAACATTTCCAGGACATTTATTCGACATTTTAAACACATATTTAATTCTATGCTGGGACTGTCAATGTGTCCATAGTCGTGGCATCCACAACGCTACCCCAACTCCCTTATGAATCGTCCCCCGGGTCCAGTTTTTTTTCTGGAGGGGGGTCGATTCATAAGGGATTTGGACTGCCCCCCCTCCTTCGCCTCCCGAGGTGGACGCCGTGCACAAGCTATCGCCGACCGCCCACGGGTGCTGCCTCGGCAGCCGCGGCAGCTCGGGCGCCGGCGGCGTGGAGGCCTCGGCCTGGCCGCTCGGCTTCCAGAGGCTGGGCAGGTGCTCGATCTGAAGAGCCTCCTGCTCGAAAGCAGCGCGTGGCTCGAGGAGGAGGAGGAGGAGGAGGAGGAGGAGGAGGAGGAGGAGGAGGGGGAGGAGAGAGGGAGGAGGAGGAGGAGGAGGAGGGGGGAGAGGAGGAGGAGGAGGAGGAGGAGGAGGAGGAGGAGGCGGCGGCGGCGGAGGAGGAAGGAGAGAGGAGGAGGAGGAGGAGGGGGAGGAGGAGGAGGAGGAGGGGGGGAGGAGGAGGAGGTGGGGGTGGAGGAGGAGGAGGAGGAGGAGGAGGAGGAGGAGGAGGAGAGCTGCCCGTGCCTCGAAGCTCGGCGTGCCGCTGAGAGTGCGGCGAGGGCCGGCAGCACGCGCGCATGAGAAGCAGCGGGGGAGGCCACGCACCGGGGCCATTTGATTGTGGCGGGAGGGCAGCTCGCCGACGCTCGCGCCCCCCTGTCGCCTCAGGCGTCGACCCTGCCAGGCTTGAAGTAGCTGGCTCGATGGGAGGGGCCCTCTAATTTTGTAAGAGGCTTCTGCGTTGGCGGTGTCTGCGGGGGAACGGAGCACGACATAAGCATACAAACTGGGAGGTCCGCGCGGATTTCTCGCATCGGCGCTGGACCCCCCTCTCAGGCGCGCGGAGCGCGCCAGGGGCAGCGCCAGAGGCGCCACCAGGGGGGTCCAGCGCCGATCCGAGAAATCCGCGCGGACCTCTGAGTTTTTATGTTTACGCCATTCTTCGCTCCCCCAGTCTGATGGCATGCGTCCTCGATGCTCCATATACGTACCCGAAGCTGGCCGAATGGCTTCTTCTTCGGGCTGTGCAGGGGACAGGGCCAGGCAAGGCGGGCTCCCTGGGTCTTGGACCGGGGTCTGCCCTGCTGCAGCTCCGTCGCACGGTGCATGTCCTCTTTGGTTCCTGTGCGTAACTATTAAGTCGGGCGTGTCCTTCTACAGGAGGAATATTCAAGAGTAGGCAAAAGTAGTCAAAACCAGTCAGGGGACTATTTTGGGAGTGTTTTTGTACATTCTGGGAGCATTTTCGGACTATTTTTTATATTTCGTCCAAACTCCGCCTGCAGGAGGAGACGCCCGACCTGACGTAACTACCCAGACCTCCGTCCGCCGTCGTGTTCTTTGTCAGGCGTGGGCCCTAGATCTCTCGAACCCATCCCTGGGAGCGATTTCCTGTCGCATTGCATACTGTTTTGATCGGCCTGATCTTCCCGACGACGCCCCAGAGGCCGAAGCCGCAAACAGCGAGCCAAAGGCAGCAGCGAGGCACGGCGATTCCCTGCTGCAGTGCCCTGACAGATCACCGCGGGCCACGCCCAGAGGCCGCCTACCACGGTAGCGATGGGCGGTGCCTTTGGTTAGTGGAAATGTTCATGATGCCAGTGACGGTTGTGAACACGGTGGAGGTGAGGGAACTGGTCATGATGACGCCAATTATGTCGTCGGCACGGGTGTGGACCAATATGACGGTGATGGTGGTAAACCAATATGACGGTGATGGTGGTGACGATGACGATGGGGACCATGTAGGTTGTGATGTTGATGTTGCTGCAGCTGATGATGACGATGCCGATGACGACGATGACGATGACGATGACGACGACGATGACGATATTGATGAATATGCTAATCATGATGTTGATGATGATGGTGGTGCTGATGATGACGACGATAGTGATGGCGATGATGACGATGATGACGACGACGATGATGATGATGCTGATGATGCTGATGATGCTGATGATGATGCTGATGATGATGATGATGATGATGATGATGATGATGATGATGATGATGATTAGGAGGAGGAGGAGGATGATGATGATACTGCTGCTGATGATGAGGAGGATGAGGATGAGGAGGAGGAGGAGGATGGTGATGATGATGAGGATCGTGGTGATGATGATGGCTGCTATTAGACCTGGTTAATTTTCACCACTCGAGAGACCCTCAACACCAAAGCTGTACGAGTAGGCGCACGGCGAGTCGACATCGACATGCGTGCCCGTGGCGCGGCAAGTCACGCCACGGCACGCGGGCACGGCACGGGACAGGGCGTGCCCGCGACCCCAGAAGGGGTGCGGTGGCGGGGGCTTGCGGCTGGCTGTCTGCAGTTGCGGATGCTGTGGTTGATTCCCTCCTCCTCCTGATCCTCCTCCCCCCCTTCCTTCTCCTCCTCCTCCTCCTCCTCCTCCCCTCCTCCTCTTCCTCCTCCTCCTGCTCTCCCCCTCCTCCTCTCTCCTCCTCCTCCTCCTCCTCCTCCTCTCCTCCTCCTCCTCCTCTCACTCCTCCTCCTCCTCCTCCACCTCCTCCTCCTCCTCCTCCCTCCTCCTCGTCCACAATTACAACTATGAGTACTACTCTCCTCTCTCCCCTGGTGACGTCGGGGGGTTGTGTTTCGTGCTGTGTTTTACAAAGGTTTGTTTTTCGTTTTTCGTTTTTTTCGTTTCGTTTTTTTTTTCCTCCGTTTTTTTTTTTTTTTTTTTTTTTTTTTTTGTTTTTTTGTTTTTGTTTTCAAGTTTTTAGACGCTGGCTTCATTTTCGGGCTACCGCTCGTTCCGAATCGTGCTCCCGCTGCAGCGCTGGCCTCATTGCAGCGCTTCCGCTCGTTCCCAATCGTGCTCCCGCTGCAGCGTTGGCGTCATTATTTCCAGCGCCATGCCAAGGCATGTTTTTCGGTCCTTCCAACTAGGCCCACCATCTAGAACATGCCCACCCGAAAAAACCATTGGAAGTGGTTCTACATTCGATGCCGATTCGTTGATTTTTTGTGTCGCAGACGCCCCCCCTCCATTTTGGGGCGTCGCCACGCAAGGCTATGTCAGGCTACGCGTCCTCCGAATCGTGCTCCCGCTGCAGCGCTGGCCTCATTTCCGCGTTTCCGCTCGCTCCGAATCGTCGTGCTCCCGCTGCAGCGTTGGCGTTATTATTTCCAACGCCATGCCACGTTTTCGGTCCTTCCAAATCGGCCAAACATTTAGAAACTGGATGATAACATACTCGGTGCCGATCCATTGATTTTTTGGGCCGCTGAGGCCCCCCCCTTTGGGGCGTCGCCGTGCCATGCTATGTCAGGCTACGCGTTGATCTTCAACACCATGCTATGCCATGTAATGCGATGGCCCTGCTACGACATCCGACTGTGCGAGTAGAGAGGGGATCTACGCCATAGTAAAGGATGGGAGGGAGGGGTAGGACGTCAGATATGACGCGAGCGCACCTAGCTTGTCCTCCTCCCTCTCCTTCTACCCCTCCTCCTCCTCCTCCTCCTCCTCCTCCTCCTCCTCCTATTCCAAACGACAGCGGGAACTCATGCTGGCTGACATGGCAGGCGAAACGCAGAAGCGCAACCGCACGGCGCAGTGTGGCTGCCCGCTGGGTGCTATTGTCGTGTGTCGCGGCCTGCTTCTGTGGCAGTCATGCTGCCCCTGCGCAGGCACTTCCTGGTGCTGCCGGGCCAGGCATGCAGCGGGCTGCTGTCGCTGGCTCGTGTGCTCGGAGGGCCTCGTCCTGCGGGCGTGGCACCTCGACGGCACTCCTGCGGCCAGGACTGGTGGTCCGTATCCTAGCCAGGCATGTTGCGTTGGCGTGTTGCTTCAGGTTGAACAGGCTAATGGAATGGCCGTGGATGCCCCTGTGCCAGGTTTCGTCCGCGAGCCCCTCCTCGCCAAGCCTGGCGCGCAGTGCACTGGCTATGCCACTGCCAGGCCAGGCGTGGTGGCCGACTGCACCACGGTCAGGGGCCAGGTCGTCACTGCGAACGTCTCTGATGGCAAGCAGCTGGTGCACTTCTTGCAGCAGTGCAAGGGGACGGTGGTCGCGGTGCAAGAGCACAGGGCGGACTAACTACATCTTCCCGACCTTCAGCGACGTGCTGCGTATAAAGGCTGGCAAGATGTTTGGGTGGCTGCTGAGGTTATTGACAAAGGTGGCTACTCAGGTGGATTGGCAGTCTGATCTCGTGGCCGAGCTATGATCACGGTGCCACCTTGTCGTGCGGACCCCGTGTTGGTACCGGGCAGGGCTATGGCGGCCCGCGCGCTGGTCATCATGACTTGTCTTGGTTGTATTCCTTGGGCTGTGTGGTGGCTCGTGCTCGGGACACGTGCAGACAGTCTTCGTCAGGCAGTCGCATCGACATGTTCATGGTCTCGGAGCGGCTGCTCACTCGCACCAAGCCGCCTTACGTCATCGAGGATGCGGGCACCATCCCTCGTGTACCTGAGGCCATGGATGTGCGGGGGCAGGAGCGCCAGTCATGGGTCAGGCAGCTTGCTGAGCCGCATTTGGTACCGAGCGGGCCTGTGATTGGGTGTTCGCGATGGCCTGCAGACTGGGATGGGCCGCTCCTTCGCGTTCACGCCGCGTGCGATACTGCGTCTCTCCAGTCTGCTTGGGACACTGTGCTGCATGCTTTGGCGCAGGAGGTGTGTGAGCGGTACGACAAGGTCGATGTTGCCGGCAGTCAGCTGACCAGTGGCCAGGTTCACTTCAAATGGTCGAAGCCGGAGTCTCCTATTCCCAATCGTCTCCAAGCTCGGTTCCGGCGTCGAGCACGCATGGGCTGTGGCTGCGCGTTAGGCCAGGCATGTGCGCCGAGAAAGGCAGTCTATTCGTCATCAGATCTCCATGCTCTTGGCAGACCGAGGTTCCCATGCTGAGCTCCCGTGGCCAAGTCTGAAGCTCGCGCAACATGTTCTTGACTTTGAGAGGTGGCTCTTGCGCATCAGTGCCTCCTCGGCCACTCGCGGTATTTATCCTTGGGTGCGGCAGTTCTTTGAATCTGGGTTTGATATGCTTTCCGACCCGCGCGTGGAGGTACAAGTTGACTCGATTTTTGGCAGGGCCGAGGAGGTGCATGATGCGTTCGGCAAGCGCTGTCTGGAGCAATGGGAGGGGTGGGCTGAGAGCTCTTTCGATCGCGGCGCTGGATCGGCTCATCGTTTCTCCGCGGCCAAGGCGGCCCAATATATTTGACTGGGGCAACTTATCAAATCATCATGCGCCGCCGTATGTTATGGCCCATAAGTCGATGCGTTTCTGGGGCAGCATATGGT